TCTTCGGGGATTTTAGATTGGGAACACAACAAAACACTAACACTCAGGGATTTGGGAATAGTCAGACGCCTGTTAATATCGATGATTCGTTTTTAAATCGAATCAATGAATTGTTAAACGAATTCAATCAATGGCACCATCGTGACCAAGAAGAACAATAACGTCGTCTATCATTTTATTTTTAGATCATATGTTACTAATTTTATGCTTTATTGTAGTCCATGTATGTTGATATACTTATTCCATGATAATTCTATGTTTATCCTTTGTGTGATGTAAATTAAATACTGAATGGCGGTTCATGCAGGGAAAGAACATATTAATATTCGCATATTCATTCAAAAACATGAAAATTCTTAATGGTGTACCCTTATTTCTTATTGAATTCCTAAAAAAAAATATTTATAATGAATTTTAATAGTTTTTTCAGATTTTTTTTAAGCTTTATTTTGACTGATTCACCCGATTCCCGATCCGGATCGCCGATTCGCCGATCCGGATAAGTTTTTTGGGAGCCCGATCTGGGTCACCGATCTGTTTTTTAAACCATTGCTCCAATGTGAATAAGATTTCTAAATAAAAATAATAATAAATATTAAAACAATTTGTGGTCTTCAGATCAACACAAATTGAAGTTGGGCTACTAAGAGGGTGTTTTATAGCCTTCATGCATCACGACCAGGTCGGCATGGAATTGCCCGGTCCGACCTGAGAATCGGTCACCTTGCTCTGATTCTGTCAATATATATGAAATCTTCCGGGTCTAGAAGAGAACTAGTGATTTGCTATAGCAAAACAATGTTTAGCTACACTAATAACTCCATTTTGCTACAGTAAAAATGCCGATTCACTGATTTGGATCGGTTTTTAGCTAGTTCATTATTTTGTACGTGTTTTTTTATTGGTGCACTTTTTTTTTGCACAGTAAAACAACAATTTGGACTGCTAATTCACCATCCGGACCGATTTTTGCAATGCCCATTCCTGATCACCCAATCCGTTTTTTAAATCACTGATCACAATGCTATACCAGTAATAGTACCAGTGCTAATACAAAATATTTGATGCAATTCATCCTTACTGCTCTCTCCCTCTCTTTCTCTCTAGGGTGTAATGTTGGGGCAACTCCCGGATGATGATGACCTTTGGGAAAGGTACACAGAGCAGTTTGAAAGCTTCTTGTGCCAGGTGGTGCAATTGAAGTCCAGCACAAACCAGAAGATGAGTCCAGGGGGATTACTTCATTTTAATGCTTGGGATAACCTGCAATATGTCACCACCACTATCTTCCTCCTTGTTGCTTACTCCAAATGGATGGACAATCCATCATCTCGAACCAAGTCGCTCGAATGTAAAATTGACTTTGCTGATTCAAAGCAGATCCTTGGTTTCGCTCGTGCTCAGGTAAAACAAAATTCGTGTAGCCGACTTCAAAGAGTTGGGATAAAACTATGATAATGATAATGATTCTTTTGTAATATACATTTGTTCCTGAACCTTCTATAAATATAATGCAAAACACCATAGTGTTTTGCATTTCCCATGGTTAAGGAATTAACCATCCAAAACTACCTAGCATTGACCCCAAACACCACCTCATGGTGTCCCCAAGAAAGGATACTGAGAAGCCCTTTCAAATGCAGACTTAAGCTATAATGACTAAGCATGATTTTGATATATGCGGTTGAGTCTTGTGACTTGTGTTTATGCAGGTGGACTACATTCTAGGTAACAATCCACTAAACATGAGCTACATGGTTGGTTATGGGAGTAAATACCCCATGAAGTGTCATCATAGGGGGGCTTCGATAGTGTCCGTGAAGAAGGACCCAACACCTGTGTCCTGCCAAGGCGGGTTCGATAAATGGTTCAATCGCAATGATCCCAACCCTAATGTCCTCGATGGCGCCCTTGTTGGTGGGCCTGACGAAAACGATCAATACTCAGATGCCAGGGCCAACTTCCAGCTAGCAGAGCCTTCAATCTACAACACTGCACCTCTAGTTGGTGTCCTTGCAAGGCTAGCATCCATGAAATGATTCATCTCCTTTTTCTTTTCTGAAGCCAATTGGTTGCACATCAGTTGTTTGTTTATGTATTAATTTGTATCTCAATTTGGGCACTGGACAATGCAATTGTTTATTATAGAAACAAGGGGCATAGTCCCTCTATTCTATTAAACCATGTTTTTATACCATAGTTTATCTGCCTCACCTTCCAATTCTTGTAGTTCTTCTTAGTGAGAATATCAAGAATCATTAGGCTTTTGCTAACGCGCATCTGTTTTCTTATAACAAACGACAGTTAAAGTGAAAACTGTTGCGCTAACACACATCCATTACTCACAACATTGACATAACTAAGTTTCTTCAGTCATTTGAAGATGTCAATGGCTCAAGGGCAAAAAATCATCCTGCATTGCTTAACCACTGCGAAAATTCTTGCTTAACCACTGTGAAACTTTGGCTTTGAGAGAGAACTGAGTGCCTGTCAAGATAAGGCTAAAGTTGCATCTACATTGCTTTGAAGTTCAAACGCATCATTTTCTCTCTAAATCGCGATCAAAGTTGTCAATCTTAAAAGGGGAGGTTTGTATATGGTGCCCACATTATACTATACAAGTAAGGTGTATCTCTAAATTTTACTGGAAGATGTAGATTTTGTGTCAGAAACTTTACGATGCTTTAAAATCCATATTCAATCCTGCTTATGATTTAAAATTTAGGAGTTGTGTACATCCATAACATTTGAAAAATCTTGAAAATGGACTGTTTAAATAATCAATTGGAAGTTTTCCAACTTTGGAACTAGTGTTCTGAGATTCAACCAAGTCCACTCGGAATCCCCTAAGTAACTCAGCCTCAACCGCAGAGAGGAGAGTTTCTACCGAGTGAAATGTATGCCAAAATTTTATAGTTTAACTAAAGTATTATGTCAATTTCAAGTCAAAAGTAGCATGAAGAATTTTTTTTTTTTTTTAGAGAGTAGTTTATTTTTAAGAGCCCATTGGGTTTAAGTTTTTTTAGGAGTCTTTTTTTTTTTTTTCTTTTTTTGTGTTTCCTCGCTTTGGTGTGAGTTGGCTTAGTAGGGTGTCTTTTTAGAATTTGGGTCTTAGAGGATAAGGACGTGATATTAGAAAGAACAAGTTTGTTTTCTTAATCTAGTAGGGAGATCTAACTATCATCTTTTGCAAGGAGATAAGGAGTTTAGTTTCTATTAGGAGATACAGGAGTAACGGTTTTTGGTGAGTAAGGAATCCTATTAGAAAATAAGACGCGGTACTTATATAAATAAAGGAAAAAGTTTAAACAAGGATGCAACCTTATAATGTAGAACTACTCGTGCACCTCAAAAATCCATCCAAAAAAGGTAGTTTTAATGTTGAAAAACCCTTTGATTGAATATCTTGACATTGAGATGTATGCCATGAAAAATAAAAAGATTTTAAGTCTCAGAAATAGTACATTTTACAATATATTATCTATACCGTTCATTTTCAAGATTTTCATATGTTTATAGATCTACTTGATTTTAACTATTTTTTAAATTTAAAATTTTATAATTAGATATAAAAATAGATTTTGAGATAATTTTAAGAATATTTTCTATCATAATTATATGCCTTGATAAAATTTGAAAGTGCACCTTACCTCTGCAGCTACGGATGCATCTGTATGCAAACTGCACCCATAAATAGATGCTTGCATTGTAAACAATGGGTTTTTTCAATGGTGAAAGTGAAGCGGTTTCTATGAATGAAGCAACCATGTGTGGCGTTTGTCACTTGGATTTTGTAACGCTTTTCATTTTATCTGATGTTGTTGGTGTTCCTTTGCCAGGATTGTATGATAGCTGATGTAACATAGTTTTTGGCTTCTTAATAAAATGGGTAGGGCCAGATTTCTCCACTGATTCACCCAAAAAAAAGGAAAAAAAGTTAAAGATATTCTTTTATCACTACGTGTAGAAAGTTAGAGAGAGAACGTTCTTGTGGGTTTATCTTTTCTTCTCTTATACTTGTAGCACATGGTGGAAGGCTCGGATCCGCGCATGATCCGTACATCTGTTCTTTCTTATTACTGATCTCTTTTTAAATTTTTGTTTTTCTCTCTAAAATACGGCTATATTTGCCGTGTTTTAGCGGCAGATAATTTCCACTTGCGTCGTTCTGGTTCCATGCTAATAGTTGCCAAAGACTTTGATTGTATGTAATTTAATTTGCAGACTTAAGACTTATAAGGGAAGAGAGAGAAACACAATACAACTTCGGGTGAAAACAAAAAATTTATTCAAATAAACTTGGCCATCTTGAGCTCCTTCATCCACTCTCTCTCTTTATGATACTCTAAAATTTTCTCTCTACATATTCATCTTAGACTCAGTAGCCTACGTTCTCTGACTTGACTAGGAGTGGCAATCGGGTCAGCTTGACCCGTGTGTCTAAAACGAAACTAGGTCCATGTTTTGGGTCTGGCAGTTCAGGTATGGGTCCAAACTTCCCAATGCTTGAACCCGACCCAGGTCGGGTCCATGCCGGACCGTAACTCATATAAAATATATAAAATATGCATTATAAATTAATTCTTATATTTGTTTAATTTCTAAAAATGCATTAAGAAGAGGGCTCTTAAAAAGTCTACCTTCCTATACGGCCGAGATGAAAAGGGGACATGCCGGAAGAGAACTACCATCAAAGTTAATTGGTTGGGAAAAGAACGGAGCCCAAATAAATTTTGCAGTTCAACAATCAAATCAATTGAGTAGTTGATGGGATGGAACAAGAGGATAGCGATTGTTTTACGTGCGGACTGTTATTCTATTCTCTTGGATTGATTTTTTTAGTGGTTTTGCCAATAGATAAAAACAACGAGAGGAGGGAGATTTGGGACAAAGAGGATAGGTTGCTATCAGAGCTTCGGAGGGAGAACGCTAACAGATAGAGATGCGCTTCCCCTACTGGACCCGACCGGACCCTTTGCCATCCCTGTTCTTGACCACACACCTTTACTTTTCCAACCCGTTTTGCTTCGTTACTAGGTCCTCACGTAACTTGATTCTTCTCAAGTTCCTCAATTTGTAGCGTGTCACATAATTCACTCCATCTTACCGATCTCCTGTACATTGAAGTATATACTGAAGATGGCGATGCGATAAATCTTATTTGAATTAGGCCTTAATCCTAGTTGCTTTGAAACTAATCCTCATTTAGTATCGATATGCCAAGCTTCCTCAACTTTTCAATTTCAATGAGATCATGTTATGAATGAGATGAGATCCACTTAGAATCTTAGTTTCTCCTCTCTCTCTCTCTCTCTCTCTCTCTCTCTCTCTACTCTACTACTACTACTACTACTACTACTACTTCTACTACTCTACTCTACTCTACTCTCTCTCTCTCTCTCTCTCTCTCTCTCTCTCTCTCTCTCTCTCTCTCTCTCTCTCTCTCTCTCTCTCTCTCTCTCTCGTAATCCATGCAATATTCTCTGTTATTTTTTTCTGTACTCTAATCGCCAGGAGATTAGTTGTCAGTCCCTATCTGTGGAACCGATGAAGAAGTTACAATCTAGGACAGAGTATATAGTTTTGTCTGGTTTCACTATTCATAGGATTGAACTCAGTTTTTATTGATTGCATTCCCATAATTGTTACTTCTCTGGGTTCTTTTATTGCCTTGTTGAATTTGAAATTTTGTTTTGTACTATTGTGTAATTATTCATAAATTTGGTCATATGTTTTCTCGGTGTTATCAAATGTTTTCATGTTTTATTTTTTATTTTTTTGAATTTGTAAATGTTTTCATGCTATTTAATAATTGAACTTTTAATTTAGATAAATTGCATTTACTGGCTCTCAGTGTATTTACTGTATTTAGTTGATATGACCTGTTCATATGGTTCATATTATATCTTCTACCGAACCATATTTAGTCTAAATTTTACTTGGTTCATGGATTTCGATTTTTGTCTGTCTAATAATATGCTTTCTGCTTAGTAATTTGATACTTAACAAAGAAAATAAGAAATGAACATGTTTCTTACACTTATTGTTCTATGTCTTGTAGGCGTGTATTTCTGTCTGATAGTTTAGATAGTTGAAGTTTGTTTGTGTATATAAAAGCTTGTTTTCTCATTTTCTTTGGCAGCAAGTTCTTGGGTACTGTATAATTTCTTACCTCTTTACTTTTTTTGTAATTTGTAAACTTATGGTTATGTACTGAAATACTTTATTTGTTTCCATTTTTCCTGCTATGCTTGTAACTACAATGTTAGCGGTTTTAATATACTGAAAATTCATCGATGTCACTGGCAGACAGTAATAGACTACTTCCTGGCAAGCCTTTGTGATTATTGTGAATATCTTTCCCTCTACTTGAATATCACAGCATCTTAGAGATGTTTTTCATTAATCTTCATTTATTTCCATTAGACTTGGAAAATATTTAGAAACTATGTCATTGTGCTTACCAAGAATATTTTTTGTAGTAGTTTGTTTTGTTGGGTTGGGATGTTCATTGCAATTATGTGTGTGAGAGAGAGAGAGTACCTTTTGTAGTGTTTTGACCATGAATTCACATTTAATTTCAGTTCCCGGTGGGTCGTATCCACCGGCTTTTGAAGTCCCGAATCTCTGCAAATGGGAGAGTTGGTGCCACTGCAGCTGTTTACACAGCAGCCATATTGGAGTACCTGACTGCTGAGGTTTTGGAACTTGCTGGGAATGCAAGCAAAGACTTAAAGGTGAAGAGGATAACACCAAGGCATTTACAGCTTGCCATAAGAGGAGATGAGGAGCTTGACACCCTTATCAAGGGGACCATTGCAGGTGGTGGTGTCATACCCCACATCCACAAGTCCTTGATCAACAAGTCCTCCAAAGATTAGTGTCTCTCTCTATATCTCTCTCACATAGTTTGAACTGTTTTTCTCGGTGGACATAGGAGACCCTTTCTTCGATGCATTGCTACTTAGAGGAATTGACTCCCCCATTTTGCACTCTCTCACTCTATTAGTTGGTATCTAATATTTTCGCATGTATGAATTTAGGCACTGTGTTTTGCTTTTGTTTCATTGTTAACTTTTGGTTGATTTGAAGCAAGCCTGTCCATCCAAACCACCTGTGCAACCAAACCACTTGCTGTATTATGTTGAAGTTTCTCATGGGGATGGAAATATCAGTGATGGATGCTGTTTTCTTAGTACAAGGGATGGTAGTTTGTTATTGGAATGCTCAAGTCTCTTGTGCTTGTTGCCGTCTTTTGTGTTTATAGGTATAGATTTGTGATCATGGAGAGAGAGAGAGAGAGAGAGAGAGAGAGAGAGATGATATGCGAAGATCACAATAATATGTGAAGGTCACAATAACCCTTTGCCCTTTGAAGTGAAATTGGGTTGTTGGAGATATTCTGTTGACCGCGAGCAAAGTTCAAAAGACAATATTTTGAACTTTGTTACTTACGTATGGATGCTAGGGTAATTGTAAATATGTGATAATGCAGTATGTAATCTGTCTTTTAATTATTTTAGATGGATTGTCTACTTGTCTTTTTTATTTTTGTGGATGTGATTTTAGGTATTTGTTGACTTCTTTAGATGGTTAAATTTCCTTGTATATTTTTTATTTTTTTGGTTGTGATTTTCAGTTTTTTTTTACTTCTTTAGATGGTTAAATTTCCTTGTATATGATATTGTGATGGCTCAGATGATTGAACTTGTGCTCGAATATCCTTGGATGGAGATGTACATAACTTTGCATGGTGTAAAAGATGAGAATCATTCTAGGGCATCATGAAAAGACATTTTTTATCCTGAGGAGTTGTTTTTCTTTTATTTTATTTTTTATATATTTTTTTTGAAGCGTATTGGGAGTAATAGACCAATTTTCTCTAAAAAAATAAAGAAAATTTTCCACTTCAACTCTCATGTTTTGCCCGTGGCAACCTTTTCTCTTTCCTTTTCATAAGGCTCCATCTCAGTGTGATTTAAATTCATTCTCTTCGCTTCTATACTCTGTTTGATAATCCCATAGGAGTGACTTTAGTACGAGGTACTTCTTTGATGTTCTATTTGTTCTCTTTTTACATTGTTGCAAGACCTCCTTGATCTCAGGCTTATCTTTGACCCCTATTGCATTGCATTGTTTCGGAGGATATGCGGAAGATGCATCGTTTTCTCTGTTTAGATGATATTGGTTTAAAACCTTGATTCGGACTGTTTTGGGTTGTTGATTTGGGTAGGATTAGATGAATTCTCTGGTATGGGGTTTTTTTCTACAAAGATTTAACTTATTTATTGAATTAAAAAAGTAAAACAAATTAACAAAATGAATCTGGAGAAATTGGTTTATATGACCAATCCAGATTACCTGGTTTCTTGATAAACTAGTCTGGTTTTCAAATAGTATAGGTTGGGTCTAACAAAGTTCTACCAATTCCTTGTTTTGACAAGGTAACCATTGGGTGCCCTACCAAATCCCATTATTACCCCATTCAGATTCCTGGTTTTTAAAACATTGTAGTCGACCATGACTGTCGTATACATTGTTTATAGTAGTGTATACCTACTTTACAGGCACAGATCTCCTCAGCCTGTACAATCGTGTTAATTCCTGTGGTTCTCATTACACAGGTGCTTTCTCGTATGTTTTCAATCTGAGCTTTGTATTTTCAAGCACTTAATGCAATCAAAGACGTAATGGGTTACTGGTCGTATTCAGTTATGAAAGTACATCAATTTTTATTTGGCGAATTAACAGGACTCAAGATTATTTCATTACTTCCAAATTTGAATGCTTTCCAAATGAAATGGATCTGAAAGTCTAATAAAAGGTTTATGCTTGTATTCATCTCCTTGGTCTTTTATCTTAATTGATGCCACCGGTCTAGGAAAGGATAAATTACTACGTTTATTTGGAAGTTTGTTCTGCAAATAAGGTAGATTTCACTGATAATACAATCTATTTGCTAAGTAGTATGATTTGCATGCTTTTCTCATACAATCCCTGTGTAATTTCTTAGTGCCACGAAATACTATCTTAGATTGCTCATATGGGCTCGTTTTGCGAGCAAACATGCTTCACCACAATGAAATTTAAATTCATCTCCCTATAGGGAAATAACCATTTGGGTTTCACTTGAGCTATATGTTCCTCTGGCTTTTGCCGATTTCGATATAGGGTTGAAATCATGGGACCGACTCTCGCCTCGCCCGAAGTTCAGTTCGTGACCCAGCTGCTCCATGCATTGCCAATCCCAATTCTAAGTAACCAATGTCGGGCCAAAGTTAGAGGCCTAGGCCAGTATATGAGTAACCATGTCCGGCCAAAAATGACGACCTAGTCCGGGCCTGGCTCTACCCATTGCCATCCCTAAGAATAAGTAACCATTGCCAAGCTTTTTTGTCCTTTTTCTCCACCTCAAAGACTAATAATACATAACTAACATTTTATCATATATAATTAAATGCTTTATATTGGGCATAACCACCACAAATATAAATAACTGGTATATATTGGGCATAAGTACAACCAAACAACCAACGAAAGGTTATATGCTTAATTATCTTTTTCATTAAATCTTGCTAATGCTATGCCTATGAACAATTGACGTCGTGCATTTGCCTTGCGATGCCTGCAAAGAGTTAAAAGCCCAATAGTCATTTTCATATTTTGTTTACCTCATAATTTGGGTTTATCGAAATAAAAAGAAAATTTCTATGATCCTTTGGGCCAATGTATTACAAGTTGGTTTATGGGGCAAATACCTAATTATGGGGATATATACGGTTTGAAATTACTCCAATCAAATTTTATTCAATTGGCGATTTATTTAAATAAGAAATATGTTTACCATGGATCTCATTGTCCTACAAATGGACGGTCTAGTATTTTTCGAGAATTCATTTGGAGCATTTTTGAAGGTCCTGATGGAAATCTGTTTCTTAAGGTTGATCTCAGTGATGAATGAAGATGATTTGAGAGTTTTGGGGTCAAGCATCATCATTCATCACTGAGATTGACTATTTGTGCTGATGTTCATCGAAAATTCACTTGGAAATAATTTCATATTTTTTTTTTTTGGGAACGTTGAGGACAAACTATTTATCAAATGCGTAACTATTTTGTGGAAAATCGACTAGTTCTTTGGTTGTTTTTATTGAAAGATCTCGCCCTTGGTAATTATTGCTCTTGCTCTGATTTTGTGGGAGATCTTTAAAATTTTGATTTTAATTAGAAAGTTCTCCTAAACCTATAACAATTTTGAGAATTAATAATCCTCAAGGGACATATTTCACCTTTTCAAGCAGACCACTTGCACTTGCACATACATGCAATATTATTGAAATATATGTATTTTTTTTTGAAAATGTTGTCATGTTTTTGTGTGAGGTTTCAAAAAAATGAAAACATTTCATCATAATCACGTTGCGACATATCTCGTTTTCTGGTGAATCCTTGAGGAGGTTATTGTTCACGA